TGTACACATGTAATAAATTTGGTCATTTTCTCCTGTTAATCTGTCTCACGTTCATTTGGTTTTTAGCCTAGTCACAAGAACTTAGGAGAGTAGGATGAAAATTATTTTTTCTTCCGCACAGGACTGTACTGACCGGGTCATTCTCCTGAAAGGCAGTGTGTGTAGTGGCTAAGCATACGGGCAGGAGAGTCTGCGAGATCTGTGTTCAAATCTTAATTACAGCTGTAAAAGTTAAGGCAAATGCTTAATCTTATTCTGCCCCAGTTTCGTCATTTGTGAAAGGATAGTAATAGTTATCACACAAGATTGTTGCAATAATTAAATGAGAAAACGTATACAAAAGCCTCGTGCACTGTGTTATCATGACTGAATATCCCCCAGTTTTTTAAGGATCTTCCTAAGAAATGACATGCCAAACCATATACAGAGCTCCAGGGAAGGGTTCTTTAATTTTTTGTTTGTTTTTAGCTGTTGTACTAAAAATAATGAACATCTCCCACCCTGCCAGTGTTTTTCATAGCTATTCCTTTGAAACATCATCCAAAAATTCAACCTGTTCAATCTGTTTCTAGACTTAACTACAGGCTGAAATAATATTCTTATTGGTTTGGGATAATTGTTTCAAAATAACAAGATCTTTGTAAATCTTGACTCTGTTATCTAATTCATTAAATATTGCTCCCAAGTTTGTCATTTACAAATTTAATAAAGATGCTTTCTTAAGTCCTTGATAAAAACACCAAGCATCACCCTAATTTACACATCTAGTAAATTTATCATCAATATAGATAACTTGACATAAAATATTTCTAGAAAACTCATACTCATTCCAAGTGTCCATATCTTTCTTTATGAAGTGTCCACAAAACAACTATTACTACATTATTTGGGGATTTTTTTCCCCCGTGATTGGCATCCTACTTTCCTGGTATGAGGTTCCAGAATCTTCCCTTTTCCCATTTATGAAATTTATGTTTCACGTTTCCTTCTGACACCCTTTTATTCTTACCACAACTTCTCAAGGATTTTTTCAAGTTAAAATATGTATAACTTTTGTGCCCAAAGAAAATTGCTGATAGATCCATGATCCCATCAACAAATTATTTTTCTACTATGGAACATAATTCTCTGGGCTCAGAGATTCCAGGGGGCACTTTTATAAAGCTCATTTACCATCTCCTTACTCTCTCTGACTCCAATTTCTTCCAGCATTGTTCTTCATGTCTTTATACTTACTATGCTTGTCCCTTTTTACCTTGCAGTGTCTGCAGTGTCTAGAGTTTTGGGGCCAGCCAAGTGGCTCAGTTGGTTAAAAGCTCACTCAAGAGTGTTAGCTCTGAGCAACAGGGTCACCGGTTTGATTCCCGGCCTGAGCTGAGCTGCCAACAGGTGGCAGGATGGCTCAGCTAAAAATAAATAAATAAATAGAGTTTTGGTCTCAGTATTTCTTTAGTTTGGGAAGGAAAAATATAAAACAAATAAAACTTAGTCCTGGCCCACACTCCTCCTTGCTTTATCGCTCCATTCGTGTTAAATTTGATGACTTCAAATTTATCAGGTATTTGATGTATAATTTTTTTGAACCTTTTGAATTGCTGGCATTTAAATAAATAATAGCATGTTGATATCTAGTGATACTTCAAAATATATTACCCCTGAGTGACTTTAGGCAAATTATGCTCTCTGTGCCTCAGTTTCTTCATTCATAAAAATTGAATATTACTGACGTCATAAGATTATTATGAGGAATAAATAAATGTGTGTATATAAAGTACTTAGAACACAGGATGTGATACACAGGAAGTATTATGTATTGTTTTATTAATTGTTAGCCTAAGGCATTTGTGTGTGTAATAGACTTTACCAAAGATATGGGGAGGAAAGGGATTATTTACATTATAGAAACACAAAAAACAAACTGAATTTGATCATTTCTTCCCCAAAGCCTTCCTGCCTATCTAATTTTCAGGGCCCCCTTCTTTTGGCATCCCAGAAATTCAGTACCCCTCACTACTATGCAAAATAACTGAGCTCTCCTACTCAAACCCAGGCCTTCTCTGCACAACTAGTAACTGTGTTCTGCCAATTGGTGAGCATTTCCCTTAGGTCCAATCCCTCAGGGCCGCTTAGAAATCCATTTTCTTTTCCTTTTCCCCAGTAATCCCTGGGAGGATCAGGGACCAAGACAAAAAGTTATTTCTCTATCAACTTGCATTTTGTCACCTCCCTTAGAAGGAAGAAGTAGCAGCTATCCTTGTTTTAAATGGCAATTTGAGTCACTGAGACTTGTGAACATTTCAAATCCCTACTTTAAGCACACTTTAAAATACACGTTTTAAGCATTTTAAAATCTATTTTATTATCCTTCTCAATATTAAATTTCATCTGTGTGTTGTGGTCTCGGTCTTGATATTTTAATGACTGATGTTTTGAACGCTAATCGGTGTTTCCTAATTCTGAAACAAAAGTCAGGAAGGAGGTAGCTGGCTCATTCACCCATAAGTATAACAATAGCACTGATTGGGCCTGGGAGGGGAAGGAAATAAAGTGGAACTTGAGGGGTGCTGCTTTCCCAGCTTCGGTGAACACCCGACAGCGTCCCCTTCACTGGGAGCCACTCCTTGCTGCTGTTTCTCCTCCCAGACAGGACCTGGCCACGCCTGCCGAAGCCCCTGGACAATTCAGAGGGGTGATGGGAAGGTCTCTAAGGAGNAAAAAAAAAAAAAAAGGACACTCCTATCACCCAGGAAATTCCAAGCGATTTAGGAGCTCTGTGTCAGGAATCAGGGTAAAAGACCAAACATTAGAAGAAAAGATGCTCCCAGTACCCTTATCACTTAGGAAATTACAAGGGTTTCAGGAGCTCTGTACCAGGAACCAAGGGCATATATATACGTATTTCAAAAACTAGAATTAACGAATTTTGTCTACAATCATTTTGATAATGGCCACAAGTTTGAGCATTTGAGTTTGAGTCACTAATATATTTAAAGTATTGCATGTGTTTTAAAATTCAAAATTACATAAAGAAACCCATGTGTACCTGGTGGATTTATAGCTGAAGGCAATTACCGAAGACTGTTACATCCTCAGTTTAAAACAGCACAATCCCATCTTTTAATACTCTAAGAGTTCTTCTGCTAATGTAAGACTTCCATCCAATTACATTTCTACAACAGAATCGCTCTCCAAGGCATTTCACTTCAACTGAAAATGTCTATTTCATTATAGAACATTTAAAATTTTTGAATGTCATTTGGCTTTAGACAATTTGTCTTGATTAAACAAAAATGAAACTGAGACACAAAATAAATGTATCTTATATAAAACTATTTCTAATTATTGTTTACCTACCACTGGAGAATCTTAAAAAGTAGGCCACACTTATTTCAATTACAGCTAAATATATTTCAATTACAGCTAAATAAAGCTGTGTTGTTTTTCAACCTACCCCAGATTTATTCTGTCATGATCAGGTAGCTGTTCCAAGAATTTCTTAGAAAAAGCCACTTGCTGCATTACACAGATGCTATACTAGGTTTAATTCAGACTATGCTGCACGTTGATAAGAATTTTTAAATTTTATTTGCAACAAGAGAAACAAAACCAGCTACAGGTGTCAAGGAGTTTATGCTGTAGCTCTCTTTCCTTCTATCCTAACCTATAATATTTGTAAATGTATAAACACTTTAACCTCTGCAGCAGACAGGGATCTTCTATTTGTATTCTATTTCCACTGAAAAGTCAAACAGCCCTTCATATTTTAATTTATACTTCAATCTCTTTTTTGTGACAATTTTTTTAGAGATGACTCTAAATGTCAATTAATAAATGAACTGTTCAGTTATCGGTAAAGGAATAACTGTATGTTAGTGGTTAAGAAGCCCCATAATTGCAGCATTTAATGCCTACTGTTGCTCCTAATGCCACCAGGCTGACTCAGACTAATGAGCTCTCCAGGTGCCACCATGCAACACAGTCCTGTCAAAATGAGCACTCAGCAGTGAAGTCTCCAGAAGAATTCACCCAATCACTGTACTTGCTTTTCATACATAAACAAAGAGGACTTATTTTTAGGTTCTTTGCCACAAGAAATATACACTGAAAACAATTAAAGGATCACATGATTTTGGAAAGAATAATCCTTCCCATCCTACATTAGAAAGAAAATGCTACTTATAAAGATATTTTTTAGGGGTACTACTGGATCTCCTAACACATTTAGTTTTAACCCTGTTAAGTATCAAAACTGCAGCACAAAAAATAAGCCAAAATGCGAACTGGGGACAAAGGCAGTTCACGTGTCTTTGGCGATCATGGTTATAAAACCACATGCCTGAGGACCATTCAAGCTGAGGTGCACACTGGATGATGCAGCCCAAAATGGGCGCGGAGCTCCAACCATCCAGAGTCAATGCCGATGCCCAGGACCATTGAGCCCTTAACAATATCCCGGCCCCAGCTCCCCGCGCCGCAGCCCAGGGTTCACAGACTCCTTGACCCTAAGAATCCTAACTCTGGTTTTCAAACAAGTCTCCAGAACCTTAACACCAGGTTTTTCTGGCTACCCCTACTTTGCCTCAAAAAAAAAAAAAGTTCATACCTCGTAATGGCATTTCCCTTCACAACGCAGACTCCCGACCGCGCCCTGCAACCAGGCCTGTCTCCCTCCTGTCCCCCTTGGAGGGGGAGCTCTCCTTTCCTTCGACCCCGAACCCCACCACCACCGCGGTGGCCGCCCAGCAACTCTACTCACAGGCTGGCGACGTCGGGAGGCAGCGGGCTAGAAAGCACCCTCCAGCTCGGCGCTGGTAGTTTCCTGCGACTGCAGTCCAGCAGAGGGATGCGGCAGGAGCAGGGCGCGGGGCAGAGGCCTGCTCCGGTGGCCGGCAGCAGGAGAAGAAAGGCCTGGGCGAGGAAAAGGAGCCGGGAAAGTGGTCCAGACTCACACTCCAGCAGCGGCTCCTCCCGGACGCCTCGGGGCGCCGGCGCCATTTCGCCCCCCTCCCCCGCCCCCGACCAGAAGCCAGCCGAGAAGAGCCGCCAGGTAGAAAAGGTGGCTCAGCGGAGACGTTGGGCGGCTGCGCGACCACCCGAAGCCCCGGCGGTGGCCTGTGCCCTCTAAAGGCAGGAGAGGAGCGGACACTACGCGACAGCGGGGACGGCACCCGAGGATACACGGCTGAAGCTCTACAGAAAACCCTCCTCCGCCCCGCCCCACAACGTAACGTCTTCACGCACAGCAGCCAACCAATCGGTGCCACAGGAAGAGACATCGCGTCGGGGCGGGACTCCGTAGGGGGCGGGGCCGGAAACAGCGGGTTCCTTAAGGAGGACTTGAAGGGGTCCCGGACTTTCGGGCACCCGTCTGGGGTTCCATCTCCGTTCTTCCGCTGGAGGGCGCAGTGGCTCATTAAGAGGGAGTGGGTACCGAAGCGCTGCAAGTCCGAGGTCCCGACTGAGGGTGTATGTACTATAGTTGTGGAAAAGGGTCTTTTATCTTCTCTGGGCTCTAAGAAAAAGGAATGGCAGACGGGCTGCCTTCCAAGTCGCAGACACGGAAGCTTCCATCTGGCCCGTCGGCCTCCGGAGCTGAGCTGGGCCTCCTCTGCCCCCTCCTGCTTGTCTGTAGCCGGTGCAGTCCTGCAAGTGGGCAGCAGCTCCTTCTCTTCTAACCCGAAGCACGTTGTAAGTTGATGGACCCATAAAGTGCTGGAGGCAGAAGCTTTGTTTATTCACATGTGTACCTCCAGCTTCTATTCTAGCTTGGAGTTCAGCAAATTTGATGCAAGTCATGTCTCTAAGGAAAATAAGCCTTTCCTCTGTTTTGAAGAATATTGTCCTTATAAACACATTTGCTCTCAGAAAAGCTAAAGGAACATTTACATAAAGAGCATATTGAGAGGTCAGTCGAGTGGCTTAGTTGGTTAAGAGCTTGTTCAAGAGTGCAAGCTCTGAGCAGCATGGTTGCCGGTTCAATTCCCACATGGGCCAGTGAGCTGAGCCTAAGCTGAGCTGCTGCTAAGCTGCCAACAGGTGGCAGGATGGCTCAGCTGCTGAGAGCACGGGCTCCTAACAACAAGGTTGTCTATTCGAGATGGTGGGCTACGCCTCCCCGCAGCTAAAGACTGAACTCAGCATGCTGAGCTGAGCTGAGCTGCCGCCTGGGTGGCTCAGCTGGTGAGAACTCATGCGCCTAACAACAAGGCTGCTGGTTCAACTCCCTCATGGGATGGTGGCTACGCCCACCCGCAACTAATTGAACACAGCACCTTGAGCTGAGTGGCGAAACTGAACTTGGAGCTGAGCTTGCTGTGCCCTCCACAACTAAGATTGAAGGACGACAACTTGGCTGTTCCCTTTCCCCAATTCCCCAACACTGTTCCCCTTCCCCCAATTCCCCAATAAATTTTTTTTTTTAAAGAATGTTGAACAGCCAATGAAGTGAAGGCTGGGAGTGATGAAATTTTTTATTTATCCTGAAGCAGAGGCTATGGAAAACCTACTAGGAACAGTGATGTCTAGCCACCTTAAACTCACTCAGTCATGTATATACCCAAGATTATGAGTGAATAATGGTGATGGTTCACTTGTATGTAGAGCTTTTATACTTTTAAAGAGCCTTTGTGCGTTACCTTGTTCGGTCCCACAATGACTGTGAAATTGTAAATACAGTTATTGCTGATGAGGAAAACAAGCCCAGAAAGGCTAAAGCAAGTTACCCAGAAACAGAGGCAGGCTGGCATTACTATGAGGGTTCTGACTCCTGTAAATTAAAAACCTGAGCAGGGTAAAAAGAATGATAATACCTAGGTCACAGGGCTATCCTAGAGATATCAATCTTTCCATGGCAGGTTTCGAGACACAATTATGCTTTTAAAAACCTGTTTTCTGTTTTTTAATATTGAAATATTTCCTGGAATCAAGGATATACCCAATGTTCCAATCCAAACCAAACTTTTAATGCCAAGATAGCAGAGTGACACTTAATTCTTAGCCTCCATTCCTGGGTTGTTGAGCATGCTTAACCTCCACTAAGAAACTGGGAGGAGCCCCACAAAAAAATAGGACATCGGGGGCGGCCGGTTAGCTCAGATGGTTAGAGCTCAGTGCTGATAACACCAGGGTTGCCAGTTCAATCCCCACATGGGCCACAGAGCTGCGCCCTCCACAACTATATTGAAGACAACTACTTGACTTGGAGATGATGGGTCCTGGAAAACACACTGTTCCACAATAAAATCCTTTAAAAAAAAGGCCAGCCGAGTGGCACATTGGTTAAGAGCTGGCTTGGGACGACAGATGGCCCCGGTTGGGATCCCACATATAAGGCCCAGTGACACTGCCCTCTACAGCTAAGATGGTGAACAACAGCTCAACCTGGAGCTGGGCTGCTGTGAGTCGCTGGCCACTGTGTAGGCTGCANCATTTCTATTTCACAGGAAAATAGCAAGTATTTTGCTAGCGTCTCTTCCTGCCCCTTCTAGAACCACCAGCCCGAGGTTGACCACCCTAAGCAAAAGCAAATAAACAACAAACAAAAATTATTTGCTTTTCTCCAAATCTGATATGCTTTAGTGTTTCATTCTCCAGTGCCTTTTGCACACGTAGTTCCCTTTGCCAGCCATACTCTTTCCCTCTTCTCTACATGGCAAACCCTACTTGTCCTTCAAGGTCCAGCTCAAATGCTACCTTCCCCGTTTTTCCGAGGCAGGGCAGAAGTGACTGACTTCCTCGGTACTTTCGTGGTACTTTGTACACACCTTCATTGTGGTGCTTATCACATTTTAGGGTCAATGTGTTTCTGTGCCAATCTCCCTCACCAGACCGTGGGTGCCTCAAAAGCAGGGTCTCTACCTTTTTCATTTCAGTATCCCTGGAGAGGCAGAGTAAAGTGATGGGTAAGTAAACTGGTTCTGGAGGAAGGCTGCCCAGGTTAAAATGCCAGCTCTACCACTTATTAGCTGTTACCTTGGGTAAGATACTTAACTTCTCTTTGCCTCAATTTCCTCATCTATAAAATGAGGAATAAAGATATCATAGATGACTGTTAGGCTCAAACAAGGTACTGCATCTAGAATCTTCTGGCACAGGTTAGTTATGATGATGATTATAACTGACAACAAGGACAATTAGCACCCATCCTAGTGCCTCTAAGCACTAAGTACTCATTGTTGAAAGTGGACACTGACCAGATTTCATACCCTCGAGACCTCAAATTCAGTCCCATAGAGGCAGAATGCTATTCTCTCATTACTGCTGAGTCCTAAAGACTTTTTGACTCCAAGGGAAGAGGAACGTGAGGAAACCTTTGAAAGAGCTGACAGCTCAGCCTTTGCAGTTCTCAGTAACTAGGCCACCTCTAAACAACTCTTCACAGCAGACTTTTTTGTTCCTCAAGCAACCATTTTGAAGTTTTTCCAAATCCATTAATTCGTGGCTCCAAACAGCCTGATTTTTGTTTTTGTTTTTTGTTTTTTTGGTTTTTTTTTTTGCTCGTGTAAATAGTTTTGTTAAAACTTTTTTAAAAATTGTTTTTCATAAAAATTTAAACAATACAAAAGAGAAAATTACGTCATCCCTTCCCCAGTCCTAACTTCAGTGGTAATTACTTCTTACAGTTTCCTGCATTTCTTCTTGCACATTTTCTTTTTTAAATTTCGGCTTTGAGGTGTAACTGACATATCATAAACTGCCTATATTTAAAGTTTACAACTGGGTAAGTTTTGACACATGTATATACCTGTGAAACCATAACCATGATCAAATTAATGCACCATCCAATACTCCCCAAATTTCCTTGGGCTCCTTTATAATCCATCCCTCTTTCCCCAACCAGCCTTTGTAATCCATTCCCAACAGGCAACCACTGATCTGCCTCTGTCACTATAAATTAGCTTACATATTCTAGAATTTTATGTGAATTAAATAGCACAACATGTACTCTTTTTTGCTCTAGCTTCTTCCACGCAATATAATTATTTTGATATCTATCATGTTGCTGTGTGCATCAATACTTCATTCCTTTTTACTGCTGAATAATATTCCATGGTATGGATATACCTTGATATGTTTATCCATTCATTATCCACTTCCAGTTTTTGTCAATTACAAATAAACGTGCTCTGAATGTTTGTGTACAAGCCTATGTACATGTAAGCCAGTCTTATTTGAATAACTGTTAAAACAGTAACAGCAATAGGTGTGAGTGACTGAGGAGGGGCTGTGGGTAGAGTGATAGTAGTAACGTGAGCTATTTCTTTTCAGAATGCATAGCTAACATTTGTATAAAATCTTAAATATCAAATTATCCAAATATTTACAAATAGAAATCATTGAATTGATTGCAAACCTAAATTTCACCAGTCCAAGTTTCCACCTAATATAGACCCAACTCAAATGTCATCATTTCTGGGAGGAATCCAGAGCAAGTCACCAGCCATCTTGAATACACTTTGCAAAAAACTCTGAAACACTGGCAAGAAACTTCCTGAGACCAAGAACCCTGGTCACCGCCATGTTCCAGCACCTAGAGCCTCGACACACACACACACACACACACACACACACACACACACACATTTCTCTAAGCAGCTCATTCCATTTTTGGACAGTTCTAATGACTATAAGGTCTTTCCTTATGTGTAGCAGATATTGATCAACCATTTTGNAAAAGGTGCAACAAGGTGTGACTACAAGATCAACATACTAAAATCAATATTATTCTAATAAATTGGCAATTATAAAATATAACTTTTATTTATTTATTTTTCCCAATGCAGGGGTCAAACCGGTAACCTTGCTGTTAAGAGAGCACACTCTATCCATCAGGGCGGCAGCTCAGCTCAAGGTGCTGAGTTCAGTCCCCCAGCCACGGGTGGGTGTAGCCCACCATCGAACAGGCAACCTTGTCATTAGGAGCACATGCTCTCACCAGTTGAGCCATCCTGCCATCTGTTGGCAGCTCAGTGGCAGCTCAGCTTAGGCACAGCTCACTGGCCCCTGTGGGAATAGAACCAGGGACCCTGTTGCTCCGAGCTCGTGCTCTTTAGCAAACTCTTAACCAACTGAGCCACTAGGCCAGCCCAAAATATAATTTTTAAAAGATAGCATATGAGGTGAGATCAAGAAATACAGTGAATGTTTACATTTTTAAAATGTATAGTAAAAGACACATTGCCATTAATCCCCCTCTAAACACTCCTCCTAGCTTCAAACACA